TACTGAAAACTACTTCCATAAAGTAATCAAGCAAACAAGAGTTTTACCTAATTAATCTTAGAGGAGAAACCAGCCTGAAGGAGGACGAAGACAGGGAAATCCTGGAAGACTCTTTGAGACTTTACCAAATTAAACGGCTTAAGTTCATGTGCCTATATTGTGTATAATATGCAGGCTGAATGTCTTTTACACTGAAGTGAAATTAACTCTGCTCTTTAAATACTGGGAAAGTGCCATAAACTGAAAGAATGTGGGGAATCAGCAAAACCAGAGAAAGGAAAGCTCATAAAGTCCAAGGGTTTGGGTTTTTGGAGCATATTTTATTTTACAATACCAGAGAATCAACATCTAATAGTAGCATAATACAAAATGAAACACCAATCTATTTAAAACTCTCATAATGGGAACTGTATTTCAAAAATGATAAGAAAACATAGTAGGAGATTTAGAGACCAGTCAATATAAATGTATAAAAACTCTCATTTCATCATCAATGCAAACAAAAATCATTTATAATAACATACATAAGAATACATTCACTTACATTCACAAAGTGGATTATCATTTTTATTTTCCATGAAATATGTCAAAATATATGCAAGTATATCTTCACATTCTGAAAGGCAAGATAAATCTTCAAATTTAAGTATGTACATTTCACTTAAATTAACCAAAATATTAAAAATAGCAGCAACACTGGTCTTTAAATACGTCTAATATCACAAGAGATTGTTCACACAATATAGACTGTTTTGGTAGCTCTTTCATTATTAATATTGTTTAATATCCACATACAATTTAGAAACTCTAAGGTTCTGGTCTGATCGCTGAATAACTTAAAGTCTAGATTCAATAAATACGAAGAATAATTATAAAACACAGACTGCAGGACATTCTCAAGACAAGGGAGGAAATCATACCCAAAGGTTTTAGGGAAGAATCAGATATGAAGGCGTACAGGAAATCTGTAGGATTTCCAAGGCAAAAAGGTGTGATCTGACAAGCTCCCTGAAATGTTAACAGACTGAGTCCAGAGAAATGTGTGAATGTCTCAAAGGCACTTTCTCCGCTTCATCCTTCCATGTTCCCTTTGAATATGGCATTTAAGTGATGAACAACTTCGGAAATTTCCCAATAAACAGGGGATAGAATAAGTTCTCACCAGCAGGCAAGACACTGGATCAGGAGGTTATTTGTTTTTCAGCATTTACGTTTATTCTGATGACCAAAGCCATAAAAACCAAGATTTCAACAGGATCTCATGTATTTCATCCTAGATGGTGGGAAAAGTATCTGTAGCCCAATTCTCAATGTAAGCCACTGTACCAACCTGTAACCCTATTGGCTTAGAAAGAAACCCTAAATGGGGTTACAGGAGTTTCCTCAGATCTAGATTTGGTTACAGAAGTTGCCCCTGTGACTGGGGCCTCTTTTTATATTTCAATAGTTTTTCAGAAAAGGTAAATGTTTAAGTCTTTCAATGGGGTTGGACTTTTGTTTGCCTTATACTCCTACAGGTATCACGCTCTGACATTGAAATGTCAATAGTTTGTACCTATTTTCATACCACTTCATATACTATTTCAATCGATTCTCACACGCACACAAAAAAAACCCAAAACTTGTGTGGAAGAAGCAAGGATAGGCATCTAAGTGCTCATTTCAAATATCTGGAAAACTGAGGTTCATAGAGACCAAAGTGACTTACCTGTTCATGGTCACACACGAGTGAACTGGTATGGATCTTTTGCAGAACTTAGCTCTATACAATGTTTACTTATTCTGAAGAATGGGGCTTGGAAATAGTTATTTCTGAAGAATGAAGTAATTTGAAGGCGGTAAATAAAAAGGGAGAAAAATGAGTTCAAGAGAAGAAAGGCAACAAGAAGTGGTGTCAGTTGGCAGTTAGTATTATGAACTTTAAAATGAGCAAAGTGCATTTCACATTTAGAACACAGACATTTCAAAATATGTAATACTTAAATCTTCCAAATTGTCCTACTTTGGCCTTGATTTACTACATCTTTAAATTAATATCTGAGGCTACATCTTTATTTACTGAGGCTGCCATTGAGACATATGATGACCAAGAAATTTTTACATGAGTTCTACAATTTCCCAAGAGACTAGTGAAAATGTTCTCGCCTATTCTCAGAACACCATTCCTACCACATTTTACTTTTAGAACAATTCCATTACACACATGTATGTGTGTGTGTGTGTGTGTGTGTGTGTGTGTATATATATATATATATATATTACTCATTTGGTGGTTTTCTCAAGTGTGGGGTTTAGAAAATATCCTTAATGAATATTCTTGCTGTGTCCTTAGGAAAATTAGTTTTTTTTGTTTTCCTCTGGAACTAAGCTGAGAAGAAGACTGTGAGAAACTTAGAGCTTTCATCACTTTAAATCTGGATTCCAGTTGGACAGTTGCCAGAGAAGAAAAAATTTTGAATGACTGTAACAATTAATTTAGAAAGCTGTCATATTTCACACAACCTTTTCAAGAAAGTTTAGTGACTCTTAGCTTGATAGTTCCATAAAACAGAATTATAATGATTCCATAGAAAGTATTCCATTGTAAAGAAACTTATCTAGAATGATAACTTACAAATTGAAGACTTAGGCTTAATGTTCTGGTGTGTGACACTTGGAGCTATTGGTCAGTTCTTATTTTTAATCAGTAAATGCATTTTAAAGAAACAGTTGAACTAAAAAGGCCATTCATGATACTGTTTTGTAACATGATAAAAATATTGTATAAATCCCTTTGCTCCTCTTTAGGTACTACCTGTCCCAACCCATATCCTCACCCCCTTCCTTAACTTTCATACACTATAAATGCCCCCCAACAGTCTCCTCAACCCTGAATTAACCAAGTAATGCACCAAAAGGCAGATTATGCTTTGGCAAGCAGGAAATTGGACTATTCTTTGAGATTTTTCTGAGGTAGTGAGTCTTTCCTCCTCTGCTCTAATGGTTAAGAAATATCTTGGAAGGTAAGTTAAGAGACAAGTGGAGTGTTGGTCACAGTACTTAAACACTACTCTGAAATGGGTGGTTTATATGATCGGATGATTACTTCAGTAGAATCCTGACTGTTATGTGGAGAACTTAAAGATACCGAGATTGCCATGATGAGGATAAACCACAGTCTCTAAAAAAGTGCTTGTCATACAGTTAGGTGCTCAATAATGTTTGAGGACTAACTGAATGTTTAAGATCTCTGACTTAGCTCAGTGAGATTACAAGCAAAAACAAACATTAAAAAAACCTAGCCAACTGCAGGCTAATATCATCAATGGCTAGCTCACTTTCCCTTGTGCATGGAATTTTGGACACCTTTTAAAGTATGGGAGGACTGAGTTTAAACAGTATTGGGCATAGTATAGTGTTCAATTCCATACTGACTCAATTTATCACATACCCTCTTATTTCCATCCTGATTTTACTATCATGATGCGGTTGTGAGATTTCTATCCATAAATAACTTTTCTGAGGACAAAGTGATCCAGTCTCTCTGTTGTTCTTCAAGCTTTTCTGCCAAGCATTTAATCAAGATAGGGTCCACTTTAGAATCAAATTTATTAGCAAACCAATGTCCATCTTTGATAAGCCACCTTAATTCTGCAGCTCCATAAATACACACGCTTCGAAGGTGAGATCCAGTACAACCGGGATAGAAAAAGCCTTCGTAGTAATTCCACTTGACAAGGCGGGTCTTACTCTGCAGATCAGACACATCCTGGGCTGATCTGGAAATCTCCCCAGGTATTCCTGGAACCCGAATCAAGGTAGCCCAAAAGTGCTCATCAGGAGAGTATGTGTCTTTAGACCAGGCAAAAAAGTCTTGAATGACGGAGTTGTTGAAAATATATTTAACAAATGCTTGACTTAAAACAAAATAAGCACTGCCAACAAATATCTGAATGTTATGGGGCGGTGCTTCCTTGGAGACGTTTGTCCTTACTGGTAGCTTCACATACTCATAAGGTACCCGTCTGAGTTCATGATGGTAAGTGAATCTTTCCAATTTACTGTTCGGGGGTTTCACTGTCTCCAACATATTTGCTCCATTGAGTTTTTTCAACTCTGACACTAATTCAAAATTTGACTTCAGGGGAAAATCTTGCCCACACAGGTTGATAACATATTTCCACTGGACTGAAGACTTCAGAAGGTCCGACAAGCAATTTAAATCAGCTTGGAGTCTGGAAATGTGGGCATATTCCACAGCCTCTAATTTGGAAGCAATGAAAATATTGGAGAAGCACTTAGCTAAATTGTTCATGGCAACTTTGAAGGAATCAGGTGCCTTACGATCATAATGGATGCAGTAAATATTGTGCTGGTTGTATATAGCATGGATAAGCCTTTCAACCATAATCGCATCTTTGTGGACAACCAAAGAATAGGCTATTGGGAAGCTTTTCTCTTCCTTTGAAACAAGCTTTTGAGCATAACCTCTTAGAGTCTGATAAATGTCACAGTCACTAGTCATTGCCACAACATCATCATCCTCCAAGTCAATGATGTCCCTTCTTCTTATTTCCAGAGTCTTGCCAATTTCCAAAGGCTCCTGTTCATAGACACCCGAACAGTTAACTTCATACCTGACTTCATCCTTAACATGAGTGTATCTGTTTCTTACAAAAGGCGAGGTGCTTAGGGAGTACTCAACCAAGTAAATGTCTTTTTGCGGAAAGAGCCGTCTCACGTTTAGAAGCTTTAACAAGGAGAGCAGCCATAGGGTTAAAAACAGGATGAAAACTTTCTGCTGTAGGGTATGTTTAAAATAACATTTGAATATCTTCATTCTGTAAGAGGAGAAAGAAATAATCCAGTTGGAATATTAAGAGAAAATCACGTCAGTTTATCCAAAATCTACCACATACTAGGCAGAATGCTGGCCCCAAAGATGAATGAAACAAGGTTTTTACCCTTGAAAGAATCCAGAAATAAGCAGATGGAATTATGAAGAATGGTGGTATTTTGGGGGTATTCTGTGTTAACTATACCTAATTTTGAGAGATGTTGATTTCCAAATAGAAGGGAAGGTAATGTAAACTCCTAAAATATAAATATAGTGTGTCTTATATTGTCTGCATTTCTGCTTAGCATATTTGAGGAGGGATTGCTCTGGTTTGGGCAGAGGTCTAGAGAACTGGATGTCATCAAGAGGGCCTCAGAGAGGCAAAGGACTCACCTGAGGCCAAAGGGAACATTTGTCTTGATTCTACCTCCAGATCCCGATTAGATCCAGGTCTGAAGTCAAACAAGGAAAGCCCAGGGAGCCCCACCTTCAGAAAGAAGGGTGGTGGGCAGACACCCAAAGGAGCTATACTAAGTATTAGAGACTGTAAAATGTATAGATAACAAAATTGGGTAAACTTGCATATTTTCCTTATTTTTTATTTTGGTAACACCCATTTCCACACAGGGATTAGCCATTTAGCCCTTAAAATAAAAAGGGCCTGATTTTTCACTGAGAGTAGTAGGTGGGGTGTAAAAACTACCTTGGGGGGGAGCAATTTGGCAATACCTGTTAGTTTTAAATGTACCCACCCTGAAGATCCCCTGTGTGTGCAAAGTCAAGCACAAGGAGGTTCCCTACAATGTTTTGTATTCAGGCAAGACAGAAAATATCTCAAACATCCTTGAACAGTGCATTGATTAAATTACATCCATGCTATATTATGTGAAAAGGCCTGAGACCAATCTGCATGTACATGCCAATGGGGAACAATCTCTAAGTAATACTGTGAAATAAAAATAAGCAAAATGCAGAAGCATGTATAGTATGCTTACATGTCTATGCATACAAAGAACATACACTAGCAAACTTTTTTTCTTTTTTGTTTTTGAGACAAGGTCTTGCTCTGTCCCCCAGGCCAGAGTGTAGTGGTACAAGCATGGCTCAATGCAGCCTTGAACTCCTGGGCTCAAGTGATCCTCCTGTCTCGGCCTCCTGAGTAGCTGGCACCACGGGTGTGTGCCACCATGCCTGGCTAATTTTTTCTTTAGTGGGGATGGAGTCTCACTATGCTGCCCAGGCTGGTCTTGAACTCCTGGTCTCAAGTGATCCTCCTACTTCAGCCTCCCAAAGTGCTGGGATTACAGGCATGAGCCACCACCCTCAGCCTAAACTTTTTCTTAAAGGACCAGGTAGTAAATATTTTTGGCTCTGTGGGCCATACTGTCTCGGTCACAACTCCTCAACTCTGCCCGTTGTGGTGGGAAAGCAGCCACAGATTATATTTCAATGAGTGGGTGTGGCTGAGTTCCAATAACACTTTATTTACAAAAACAGGCAGCTGGCTGGATTCAGCCCACAGCTGTAGTGTCTCCAAAAGGATATTGTATATACATGATGCTGGTAACAGGAGTTGCTTTGCAGGGTAGAATGGGAAAGGACTGAGGACTGGGGCCTAGGTAGGAGAAGGATTTACTTATCACTGAATATCTTGTAGTATCATTTGCCTTTAAAAATGATTGTATTACTTTTTCAGATGAAAACAGGCTGACTGGGAGGAGGGTACAGATGTACTTATAGGGAGCAGCAAGAAGGGCAGCCCAGGAAGTACTAGCCCAAGGGTCCAGGACAGAAAGGCTGGCAGAGCTCCTAGGGCTGCTTCAGGAGGTTCAGATACTGAGAACTGGTGGGGTCTGAGTGCCCATGTGCAATTTCCTAACATATCTCAATAAACCTTAAATGGAAGATATAATCATTGTATCCAATTTCATTCAAGAGAATTGCCAAGAACTTGGAACCCAATTTAATTTTGTAGATTTCATCTATACAGACCAATTGACAAAACTCTGCCCTGGGAATGAGATCCCACCTTCCTCATTCACCTCCACTTAAATCCCTCTGTTTAAAGAACCACACCTTCGCCACCATGAACTGTACTGCAGAATCCCACCTCTCCAGCCACATCTTGTCTCTCCTCTGTGGACTGTCACAGGCTTCTATCCTCAGCTCACTTCTCTTCTCCTGCATACTTGCCCCCTATCTGTAGATTCCACCTTCCACACTGATGCCTTTCCATATTCCAGCACCTTTCCCTCCAGCCCTCACATCTTGCCCAAGCCTCATAGGTGAACCTCCAGTTGCTGGATGGACATCACCGCCTGATATCCCGCAGGCACTCAGCCTCCATGAGTCCAAAACTGAACTCGACATCCTCACCTCACCTGCGTCTTCTGTCTCAATATATGGTCAGACCATCCACTCATGGGCCATGTTTGAAACTAGAGTTACCCAACTCGTCCATTTCACTCATACCCATGTTAACACATCACCGCATAAATGTGCCTCAAATTCATCATTTCTTCTCCATCCCCACTGCCAAGTCCAGACAGCATCTTTGCTGCATCAGCACCCAGGTTAAGAGACTCCTGGTCAGGCTCATGGCCCCGGGTCTCTTGACTGGTCTCAGCTTTTTGCTCCTCCAAAGCACACCAAACAGAGTCCCATCACTCAGGCTCAAGGCCAGGGTGCTTGCTAGTTGTTCTAAAGCTGTGGAAAACTGTCCCCACTCCCCTGCCTGACGCACAAGGCAACTCACTGCAACTCCAGAAGCCTGGGCACATGTGTAGAATTGGGTGTTGTGGTATAGTAGAAGACTAATCAGTCCCAAATAGGGGTGTGTGTGTGTGTGTGTGTGTGTGTGTGTCATTGTCTTAATTCATGGTTATTAGGCATAAATAGCATGTAGCTTACAGAAATGACTAGAACTGGAAGGGGTCTAACTCAAAGTAAATTTTGGCTATTTCTTTTCTCACTTTTAGTCCATGGAGTCTCTAATTAACGTTAGCACTTCCCCCTGACACCACAGTAGTAAAAAGAAAAGACCTCACATTCTAAAGAGATTTACCAAGTCTTGCAGAGTTGTCATGTCATTTAACTATCATCTTCACACTTATATAAAAAGACCTGCCTTGTCACTCATTTCCAGGGCCTCTTCTGCATCCAGGCATCCCTGCCCTTCCTGAGAAGGCCTGGGGCACACACGATCTGACTCTATCCTGGTTGGGAGAGTCTGAGTTGAGCAGGAGGCCATGGTTGCCTGCCCAGAGACAGGTCACAGGACATCCAGGGAATGAAGAGGTGGGAGGCACCCAGTGAGAAGTCCTTTGGAAACTGGCTCTGGGGCCCACATCTGAGAACCAGGAATGACAGTGAATTTCAAAGAAAGAAGGGTAGGAAAATGGGACAGCCCACGCACCTCGCTTTCTGACACACCTTTGCCCAAGGCATCTTTAAGGGGGAGAATTTGTGTTGGAGTCAGCCTTTGATATCCTTTGAAAGGAGCAGCCCTCTTCAATATTACCCTGTCCCAAATCAAAATAAAACCCCTTCACCTGCTTACCATGGCCAGAAATCCATTTATTTATTTATTTATTTACTTACTTACTTTAAGTTCTGGGATACATGTGCTGAACATGCAGGTTTGTTACATAGGTATACATGTGCCATGGTGGTTTGCTGCACCTATCAACCCATCATCTAGGTTTTAAGCCCCACATGCATTAGGTATTTGTCCTAGTGTTCTCCCTCCCCTTGCCCCTCACCCCCAAATAGGTCCTGGTGTGTGTTGTTCCCCTTCCTGTGTCCATGTGTTCTCACTGTTCCCTGGTGTGTGTTGTTCCCCTTCCTGTGTCCATGTGTTCTCACTGTTCAACTCCCACTTATGAGTGAGAACATGCGGTGCTTGGTTTTCTGTTCCTGTGTTAGTTTGCTGAGACTGATGGTTTCCAGCTTCATCCATGTCCCTGCAAAGGACATGAACTCATTCTTTTTTATGGTTGCACAGAAATACCTTTAACTGAAAAGCATTCCTTTCCCCAAAGAGGTGCGTAGGTGCAAAGCCACTTGGTATGGAGTTTTTGTCAAGTCTTAAAAGGGGATGTTGGCCTCTTCCCAGCTGCGGTGGGCACTAATAGTGAGGGGAATGCTGGCAGGAGGTTGGAGAGGACTACGGGTCCCCAACCTTGGTTCAGCTGGCTTTGGCTTCCTCTGAAAAAAAACATCTGCATAACACCCTTGGGCCCCTCCCACTGGGCTCTGCAGGGGGTACACCCCCAGAGCAGCACAGCCCCAGGGGACACAAGTTGCAGAGGGTGGAGGAACCAGGTCTGACCAGAGTCAGCTGGGCTAAGGCTGGCTGTCACATTGGCCACATAGTTCCTGGGAGACCAGGCTAGCAATGTCACTTTCTGCAAACACCACACCCAGCACTTTCCCTCTTAAAGGTTTATGGGCAGGAAGTAGGCAAATGTTTTGCTGCCAGGAAGTGGTCTTACAATTACATTACAAATAACGCCCCACCCACGGGAGAAGCAGTATTTCCCCTTCTACCTTCCCGGGTAGTCAAGGAGGTCTGACCTGTTGCAGAATTTATTGCCACATAGGCGCAAGTTCCTAGTGATGACAGAACTGAAAAAACTGTAGCAAGGTTTGATGGCTATAACTCAGGTGAAATATGGTCTATAATAATAGACCAGTAAAAACCTACTCCTCACTAAAGTCCCAATAGGGATGTTGAATGAAGCATTTCCCTCAAACCATGTTCTTCTCCCAACCCATCCAGGCATTGTTGCAGCCTTCAAGGAAGCAGCAAGAACACAGAGGTGCACCCCAGCTAAGTGGACATGACCGCATTCAGGGACACCCCAGCTAAGTGGACACGATCACATTCAGGGACACCCCAGCTAAGTGGACATGACCGCATTCAGGGACATCCCAGCTAGGTGGGCACGACTGTATTCAGGGCTAAATGGCTACAACTATTAGCGGCTCTTCAACTAACTCTTCTTACCTTAGCAATTAAAAAACCCAGGACTGTCAAAGAAGTACAGATGCTTCCTTTCCCAGGGAAGAAAGGGGAATGGCACATCAAGAATGGGAGGAAGGAGATTGAGGAGAAAAGAACTGAGTAAGGTTGAGTTTAGGGACTAAGAATGCCTGCGCTTTTTTCAGGAACAGGTTGTGGGGCACTGGGGAGAGAGGAAGAAAGGATCTGGGTTCAGGATGCCACAGACCTAGGGCTTGAGTCCCTGGACGAACACTTAGTAGCTGTAAGACTTTGATCAAACTATTTAAGCTCTCTGAAGGCCAGTTTTCTTGTTAAAAGTGGGGCTGGACTGCTCTAGGAAAACGTGGCCAGACTGCTTTTTAAAGCAGCTCCATGATCCTGTTCCTCCTCACCGGGCATGACCTCCCAACTGGGGTCTCCAGCTACCCCCACGCTGGTGCTTTCTGGCTGACAGAGGTTTCAGACCTCCCTGGGATGCAGCTCCCAGAGGGATGGGCAGGCCGCCATCTTTGCTGTTTTGCAACTTCACTGTTGATACCTGCAGGTACTGGAAAATCTGAGATTAGGGACTTCACGGCTTCTTTAAAGATCCAGCCCAGACCTGTGGCTTACTGTCCTGTTTTTCAACCTACCTCCTATTTCTCCACAAAGTCTCAACAAATTCAGTATTTTAGAATTAGTGCCTGAAGGCCTCCATGTAATGTGCTTTATTAATTTTATGGATATTCATCCCTCAGTATATACAGAGGATTCATTCCAGGGCCCCTGTGGGCCCTAAAATCTATGCACACTCAAGTCCCACAGTCAGCCCTGAGGAACCTAGTATGGGAGAAGTTGGCCCTCCATACA